TTTTGGTACCGGGGATCGAACTCGGGTCCTTGGGATTGAAAGGCAGGTGGCGGAACCACTCAGCTAAATCCCCGGCCCTGGTTGCATCTATTTTTAATGCCAGAAGTATTGTTTTTTGAGACAAGGTTTTACTATGTAGCCCAAAGGCTTTGAACTCTAGGGGACTCTTCTCCTTCAGCCTCCAATTGCTGGGATTATAGGCGTGTGCCACCATGCTTGGTACTCTTTTAACTAAATCCCCCACCCTGGTGTATGCTTTTTTATTAAAAAAAAAAAAAATACAGGCTTTTGAGTGAGCCCAAAGAAAAGACCAGGTGTGGACAAAGGGACACGAGCAGTGAGCTGCAGAGGGAGTGGGACCCTGGAATGTGTTACGTGTGTGTGCGTCAGGAGGGATTAGCAGCAGAACCTGGTCCCACACTGCCATTGTTGACAGCAGTAGAACCAGAACCAGACCCAGACCGGCCTCTCCTGATTCCCAGCCCACCTTTCTGTGGGTGCTCCCGGCACTGGAGGCTGTGGAATTTCCTGCTGAGCCTTGCCACCTGTGCCATGAGTTTTCGGGCAGAACAGGCCACCTGGGCTTCCACCCCTCAGCCCTGGGCCCCACCTGCTTCCTGCTGTCCTAGGCACTGGGCACAGTGGCAGCGCAGAGGTGGGAGCCCAGTGTTTACTTCCTCTTGGGTGACCCAGTGTCCTTCCTGATTTGCCTGCTCCCCCAGACCTGCCCTGCCCTCTCCAGCTTATTTGAGCAGCAGCCACGCCTGGAACTTAATTATCAGCCCAAGCTGGCTGAGCCACCAACTGTACTTAGATCAGTGCTGTAGCTGGACAAGGAGCCTTTTGGGGGCACTGTTCTGGTGTCCGTCAGATCTGCAGAGGAGTCTGGGACATCCTGCCCCTGGGGGAAGGAATGAGCTGTGTTTTAAGAAAAGAAAAATATGGGCCAGGGATTTAGCTCAGCAGCAGAGCACCTGCCTGGCAAGCTTGAGGTCCTGAGTTCAATCCCTGGTACCAAAAAGAAAAAAAAGAAAAGGAAAAAAATACGAAGGGCATGGTGGTACACACCTGCAATTCCAGCCCTCAGGAGGCCAAGGCAGGAGGATTGAAAGACTAAGCCCTGCCTGGGCAACTTAATGACCCTCTCAGTAAAAAAAATTTTTTTTTTTGGTACCGGGGATCGAACTCAGGTCCTTCCGCTTGCAAGGCAGGCGGCGGAACTACTGAGCTACATCCCCAGCCCTCAAAGTAAAAAATTTAATAAGGGCTGGGATGTAGTTCAGTGTGAAGGCCAGGAGTTCAATCCCTAGTACTGCACATAATTAAGTAAAAAATTTTAAAGGCAGGCAGCCTGAGCCCCAGGGGATTAACAGGAAGCCATGACTTTGGCCCTCTTTAGTTTCTGCCTATAGAGACTCGGATGAGCTCTCCACACAGTACTGCTGGGACTCCAGGATGCGTGGGGCTGGCAGGGGGATAAGGCAGCAGAAAGGGGATGAGATGTATTTTTTGTGTGAGTGTTGTTTTGTTTTGTTTTTGAGACAGGGTCTTGCTATGTAGTTCAGGCTGATCTTGAACTCACTGTGTAGCCCAGGCTGGCCGTGAACTCATGGTGATCCTCGTGCCTTGGCCTCCCTAGTCTGGGTTTATAGGCATGAACCACTAGCTGGTATTCAAGCCGGGGATTTAGCTCTTGTTTCGCCCGCCTGCTGCACAAGCAGAAGGACCTGAGTTCGATCCCTGGTACCAAAAAACAAAAACAAAAACGGTATTCATGCCAGGCATGGTGGGACATGTCTATAAATCTCAGCACTTGGGAGATTAAGGCAGGAGGATTGCTGCAAGTCTGAGACCAACCTGAGCTACATAGTGAGTTCAAGCCAAACTGAACTAAAAAGTGAGACCCTGCCTGAGAAAACAAGCAAACAAAAGCATAGGCACTGGGATTTAGAAGTGTCCTCTTCATCAAGAAGATCTGGTTATGGGAAAAATGTCAGATCTAGACCGTATTTACTATGACATAATCCTTGTACATTTTGGTATTGTAAACTTCCTGTTTGGCGACCAAGCCCTGGCACAGTTTGTTGGCAGCTCACGTGCAGCTGAGGGTCTGAGTAGCAGCATCCCAAGTGTCCCTGGAGGAGAAGCAGCTCCTGGGATCTTGGAGCTTAGGACAGTTGGCAAGGCCAGAGCCCTGGTTACACCGGCCAGGGCGGGTGACAGGGACAGAGGTGCAAACAGAAGGAAAGGTGATCGTGACCAGGCAGGACCAGCGCCCAGGGCGAATGCTGCTTCCTGCCATCCCTTCCAGTGCAGTGTGCCCAAGGGACCACGGCTGGGGATCCTCGTGGCAAGCCTTGGTTTTGCCTGTGGCTCCTGGAGGCAGATCGATCACGCCAAGTTTACATTGTCCTTGCAGGACAACACCATGAGTCAAAGGACATGTTGGTTGTCACTGTGGCCACCGCAGAATGTAATGAGTTTCCCACGTTGGAGTCCTTGGAGAACTGTAAGTACCACCCTGCAAGTGTTCACAGAGAGTATCTGCTCTACAGTCAGCTAGAAAAGCCTTAACAAGATGGGGTCACTTTGGTCATTTCAGACACCCTGACCATAGACGATGACCAGTGTCTGCTGACTGCGGACACCATCTGGGGAGCCCTCCGAGGTACCGTGGGCTGAAAGGGGGAGATTGGCATTGGCAGGGGCAGGGGGCAAGTGCTCCCGTCTAAGGTGGCTTTCTTCATGGACACCACTTGGGATGTCCATTTCCTGAGTCCTTGAGCTGTGCCTGGAGGTGGACAGGCAGTCTTCACAGGACAGCAGCTGGCAGGGTGGCACTGTCACAGCACTGCCTGCTTGGCTGTCACTTAAGACACATGAGTGGAAAGGGTCTAAAAAGGAAAACTAAAGCTGGGTGTGGTAGCGCAGACCTGTAATCTTAGCACTGGGGATGCTGAAGCAGGTGGATCTCTGTGAGTTCAAGGCCAGCGTGGGCTACATAGTGAGACCTTGTCTCAAAAAAAAAAAAAAACTGGGGCCGAGAGTTTAGCTCAGTGGTTTTGCCGCCTGCCTCATGAAGGTCCCAAGTTTGATCCCTGGTACCAAAAAAAAAAAATGTAAATTGTAGTAAAATACGTAGAACTATGTCATTTCTGAAGAAAATAAGGTTACTAGCCTAGAGGTGGTTTTACTGGAAAGGTATTTGGTCCCTGTATAAAGACTTAGCCAAACTACAGTGGTGCATTCCTGTAATCCCAGCTACTCAAGAGGCTGAGGCAGGAGGATTGCAGGCTTGAGGCCAACCTGGGCAACTCAGCAAGACCCTGCCTCAAAATAAAAAGGGCTGGGCTGCAGCTTAGGGCAAAGGCCTTGAGTTTGGTCTTCAGCACTGGAAAAAAACATTTATATTTACTTATTTATTTAAACAAGTATGTTTACAATTTTTTCTAAAATCTATGCTGGTGAGGGGAATTTTCACAGAATTCCTGATCTTGGTTTTAAAATTTTTTGTGTGTGGTACTGGAAATCGAACTCAGGACCTTGCACTTGTGAGGCAGGGGCAGCACCACTAAGCCAAATCCCCAGCCTCCCATTTTTGTTTTTTTTTGTTTTTTTGTTTTTGGCACCAGGGATCAAACTTGGATCCTTGCGCTTGCGCAGCAGGTGGCAAAACCACTGAGCTAAATCCCCAGCCCCCATTTTGTTATTTTTGAGACAAGGTCTTGATATGTAGTCCAGGCCGCCCTTGAACTCACTATGTAACCCAGGCTGGCCTTGGCCTGCAGGGATCCTCCAGCCTCAGCCTCCGGAATGCTGGGATTCCACCCCCACCCCACCACGCCCAGTTGGATCCTTCTTGTTTCTACTCCCCAGTCCTCACTGTCTCTCCCTGCTCTGCAGGTCTGGAGACGTTCAGCCAGCTTGTGTGGACCTCTGCGGAGGGCACGGTGAGTGCAGTCCTTCAGAAGGGGGCCAGGAAAATGTGGAGACCCTGGGAGTCCTGTTCTGTTTTAGATGGGGCCTGATGGCCTTGGCTGACCCAGCAAGAGGGTGGGAGGAGACACAGATGGAGGCTGGCCTGGGAGATTTGGGGTCTTGACTGGAACATGGCTCTGCATCATTTGGCAGTGGCCTTGATGCCACACAGCTTTGAGGAACAGAACCTGCCAACAGGGAGGCCCATAGTTCCTGGGCTGCCGGAGCATTGTATTTGGCCGGCCTGGGACACTCTCCCCCTGGTGGGTGGCTGATGATGTCCTTTGAGGTAGAGGATGGGACCGGGAATGGTCACAGAGAGACCAGCTTTGCAGGGATCCTGGCAGAGTTCTCCTCCTTCCCCAGCCCCTGGTAAGCTCCTGTGAGTCCTGACCTAGTCGGTGTTTGGTCCGAACAGTTCTTCATCAACAAGACGACCATTGAGGACTTCCCGCGCTTCCCCCACCGGGGCTTGCTGCTGGATACATCTCGCCACTACCTGCCACTGTCCAGCATCCTGGACACACTGGTACCCGGCCTCAGGGCCTTCTGCACACTGGTTCTGGGGGATGGGCCAGGGGTCAATGAAGTTACATCTTCCTAAAGAGGAGAAGGTATATCTGTAACTCTGGGCCACTGGGTTCAAGCCCAGCCTGAACTACATAGGGAGACCCTGTCTACAAACACACAGACAAACAGCAATTTAAATATACACCACCAGTTACTATGGGCCAATGTTCAAGCTGCCCCCAGGGAAACAGAGATGGTTTGGTGAAGTAGCCTCTCTCCCCAGGCGGAACTAAGTCAGCTTAGTCAGGATGTGGTCACAGGAAGATGTGTTGTCCCGGCTGTCTTTTGAGTTTGATGTGCAGGCTTATGTGATGGTGGCTGATCCAGGTTATGTGCTCGCCTTTCCCTTTGCTCCTCTGTGGGACCAAAGGAATTGACAGGAATATCGGCCTGGGCTTCTGGGATTTTATGAGTTATGGGCAACTGTGTTACCAGCCACATGACCCAATGGGAAGGGAAGGAAGAATGTGGGTCATTAGATTGTTAGACTATTAGGGGACTTTGAAAGACAACAGGAGCTGGGCATGGTGGCACACACCTATAATTCCAGCACTGGGAGGGTGAGGCAGGAGAATTGGTGAGTTTGAGGCCAGCCTGGGATATGTAGTGAGTTCAAGGCCAGCCTGAACTACATGGCAAGACCTTGGCTATTAAAAAAAAGAGAAAGAAAATAAAAAAGAGAGAGGGCCGGGGATTTAGCTCAGTGGGGCACCTTGCCTGCCTCGTAAGCGCAAGGTCCTGAGTTCAATCCCCAGTACCAAAGAAAAAAAAGAGAGACAAAAGGGCAGTGTAGGATTTGCAGCCCCCCTCACAGTGTAACCAGAATTCATCTCAAAAAGAGGAGGTGGGCCAGGGATTTAGCTCAGTGGTTCCATCACCTGCCTCACAAGTGCAAGGTCCCGAGTTCAATCCCCGGTACCAAAAAAAAAAAAGGAGATGCTGACCCAGCTATTACCTTTCTAGGTGTCTTCCCAAAAGACCTAAACACATCATGTTACGGTGATCCGTGCGTGCTTGTGTTTATAGCAGCACAACTCATAATAGCTAAATCTTAGAAGCAGCCTATATGTGCATCAACAGATGAGTGGATAAAGGAAATGTGCCATTTACACACAATGGAATACTGCTCTGCTATAAAGAAAGATAAACTTGAGTCATTTGTAGGAAAATGGATGCACTGTGAGACCATAACATTAAGTCAAATAAATCAGACATACAAGCTTAAATATTGCATGGCTTCTCTTATGTGAAAAACCCCAAATATCATTAAAGAGCAAAATAAGATAATAGGAAACAGAGAGATAGAAATTTTGCAAAAGGGAAGGGGGCCAAGAGATAGGGGAGAAAGGGGAAGGGGATGAAACAATGAAGACACATTCCGCACGTGCACCAACCTCCCAAGATGAGTCTAGTCATTGTGCACCGCAGACACATACTGATGGAAAGAAAGGGAGTCCTCTTGCAACAGAGACCCTAAAATGCTCCCCTGAAGCCGGGTGACCGGGATGTGTGCCAGGCAGGTCACCAGGTATGCTCTGCCGCAGGATGTCATGGCGTACAACAAACTGAACGTGTTCCACTGGCACCTGGTGGATGACCCCTCCTTCCCATATGACAGCATCACCTTCCCTGAGCTCGCCAGAAAGGTATGGTGCCACATCACCCAGCCTGAGCTCACGGCTCCTCGTCCACACCTGTCCTGGGCCTGCTGGCAAGAGTGGTGGCTCCCAACCTCCCCAGACCCCTGATGGAGGGGAGGGCAGGGGGTTCCTGGTTAGGGCACTTGGATCCAGGCCTGAGCTGTGCCATTAGTTTGCTTTGTGACCTGCAGGAGATGGTGTCCCCTGGCCTCATTTGATTTCTTTTTCTTTTTCTTTTTCTTTTTTTGGTACCGGGGATTGAACTTGGGACCTTGAGCTTTTTGAGGCAGGCGGTGGCACCACTGAGCTAAATTCCCGGCATGGCCTCATTTGGTTTGTATAGAGTCTGTCGAGTGGACATCATTCTGGTTTGTTTATCTCATTGGCATCTGATGCTCACATAAGATAGTAGTTGTGAGAAATTATGATAAAAATCCTAAACCAGGTAGAGTGGTGCACACTTTAATCCCAGCAATCAGGAGGCCGAGGCAGGAAGATTGGCATGAGTTTGAAGCCAGCCTCGACTACAGAGCAACACCCTGTCTCAAAAAACCAAAACAAAACAAAAATTATGGTAAAAATCCTTGAAGATAGTCCCTTATTCCCAAAGGCCGTGGACAGGTGTTCTGATACCTGAGGAGTCTTGGGGACATTTTGAGTGTCTTCTAGGTGTTCAGGAAATGACTGTGAAGGTTATCTTGTGCCTTCCAGGGGTCCTACAACCCTGTCACCCACATCTACACAGCACAGGATGTAAAGGAAATCATTGAATATGCAAGGCTGCGGGGCATCCGTGTGCTGGCAGAATTTGACACCCCTGGCCACACATTGTCTTGGGGACCAGGTAAGAGTAATCCCTGGGGTTGCAGGGGGGCTGCTGGTGGCCCTTGGTATGGGAATTCAGGACATTGGCTCTAGAAGGTGGCGTATCCAGTGTTGGTTGCAGAATGTCTTCCCCCCACTTCTCCTGCCTAGGAATTGAGACAGGAAGAACCTACTGTGGCCAAGGAGGCCCCAATCCTTTTTTGTGATCTCATGTAGTTCAAGCTGGCCTTGAACTTGCTGTGTAGCCTAGGCTGGTCTCAGATCCTCCTACCTCAGCCTCCCGAGTGCTGGGATCACAGGTGTGCACTGACATGGCCTGCTAAGGAAGCCTTTTCAGTGTTAATTGATGGGCTGTGCCCATGAGTCTCAGATGTCCATGTTGCCATGCCCTAGAGTGGGTGCCAAGGAATCTGACCCCCAGGAAAAAATCTAAAAGAAGGAAGCTCAGGGTAGCCTTCAGAGGTCAGAGTCCACAAACTCCAGGCCCCGGTGTGAGTCCCCCAAACAGAAACTTACTTGGGAGACTGAGTCAAGGAGATCTCTGAGTTTTGAGGCCAGCCTGAATTACATGGCAAGACCCTATCTCAAAAAAAAAAAACAAAAGATGATGAAAGAGGCAGCTGCCTGGCCTCATCCTCAGGAGGGAAGGCTCCAGGTCCGGGGCTAGGGAATGTGGAGCTTCCGGATGATGATGGGGCCCATGTCCAGGTGATGGTGGAAACATTGTGTGAATTTGGCTCAGTGAGTCTCTCTGGTTGCTTTTCTGCTTCAAGGCCATTGGAGGAGGGCAGCCTTTGGAAGCAGGGTGACTTCTGCTAGAAGCAGGGTGTCAGGAGTGTGTGCTGGCGGTCGCCTGGGTGTGACCAGCCTCTGTCAGTGAGTGTGGCTCTTTGTGTTTCTCTGATGATGACCAAACAGGTGGTGACCAGTGCTGGTGTATGCCTGGCATGCCTCCCTATAAGCATGTGATGTTTGTTTTTTGTTTTTTGAGACAAAGTCTTGCTGTGTAGCCCAGGCTGCCCTCAAACTCACAGTGATCCTCCTGCCTCAGCCTCCAGTATGCTGAGATTACAGGCGTGCACCACCACACCTGGTCATGTGTGTGATGTTTATGGACACATTATCTTATTTGCATGACTTGACGTCCTTATGTGTAGCACTGCACAGGAAGTCTGTATCTGTGACACTCACGTGGCTCCTCTTGACGTAGGTATCCCTGGGTTGCTGACTCCTTGCTACTCTGGGTCTCGGCCCTCTGGTGACTTTGGACCTGTGAATCCCATTCTCAACAGTACTTACGAGTTCATGAGCTTATTCTTCTTGGAGATCAGCTCTGTTTTCCCAGATTTTTATCTTCACCTTGGAGGAGATGAGGTGGACTTCACTTGCTGGTATGAGTCCTATGGTCCCCCACCCCAGCCTGATGAATCACTTGCTCAAAGTGGAGGGTGCACTGGGGGCCACCTGGCAGGCCCTGCTCTGGGAATAACCTGTACGACAGCAAAGGTGCTGACCTGGAGCTCCTGCCTAACTTCAGCAAGGCTGTCCTCTCCTTTTGCTCTTCCACAGCCTGGAGATATTTATAGAAAAACTAACTTGGAGCTCAGAATCATCTTGGAAAAATCCAGGGTAGACAAAAAGAATCCTTGCTTATGAAGGCTTAAAATAGTCTGATGAAAGAATCAAGCCCAGAATTCAAGCGATGACAGGGTCTAATGAATATTAAATCAAAAAGTTGGCACCCTCAGTCTGGGGCCCTCAGTGGAGACCAAAGGAGTTCTGGGGCAGAAGTGGGAGCCAGCTGTGGCTCTGAGGAAATAGCTTGACTTTTCTGGGGACTTGGCCAGAGGAAGACACTCCAAGAGGAGACTGCCGTGGGCATGGGGTCTGCAGCAGCTGGCACAGCTGAGAGGGAACCCGGGGTCCAGTGTGCAGGGCTCCTGGCTGTGCCTTGGCCTGAGGTGGAGCAGAGAGGGAGTAGAGATTCAGTCTTCTTGGAGTTGGGACTTCAGACTACAGGTCCAGATTCACCATTTCTTCTTCTGTCAGTGGTGAACATACTGCTTCATGTAGCTTAGCTTGGCCTGGCCACACCTTCCATGGACAGCACTTCTGAGCTCCTCAGTGGGTTTGGGGATTTGGTGGTGGGGGGGGGTAGGTTTGTTCTGTTTTCTGAGACAGAGTCTTGCTCTGTAGTTCAGGCTGGCCTCCAATTCATGGTAATCTTCCTGCCTCAGCCTCCCAAGTGCTGGGATTACAGGTGTAAGCCACCATATCTGGGGTTTGTTTGTTTTTGTGGTTTTTTTGGTGATAAGGGCAGTTTTTTGTTGTTTTTTTTTTTTGGTACTGGGGACCTTGTGCTTGGGTGGCAGGAGCCGGAACCACTGAGCTAAATCCCCAGCCCCAGTTTTTTGTTTTTTGTTTTTAGTGGTTCTTTATTGGTAATGTAGGATAAGGGCAGTTATAAGAGGCCAGGGACTAATCCCCAGGCTGCAGGCTTTCAGGATGCAGAAAGTACTAATCTTCATTTTTTCTTGGCATTCAGGAAGTCCAACCCAGATATTCAGGCCTTCATGAAGAAGAGAGGCTTTGATGACTTCCGGCAGCTGGAGTCCTTCTACATCCAGATGTGAGGAAGCAGGGGGATTGCCTCCTTAGGGGGATCCCTGCTTGACCACTCCCTGGGCCCAAAGGCTCACTGGGTCCTGTCCTTGGTGCACAGTGGGTGGGTCCCAGGTGCAGGGAAGGCATTGCCAGATCAGGGTGAGGCCAGTGCCAGCCTCTGAACCCAGAGCCCTGCCACTTCTGTCCTCACCAGGCTGCTGGACATCATCTCTGCCTACAACAAGGGCTACGTGGTGTGGCAGGAGGTGTTTGACAACAAAGTCAAGGTGAGCCAGGGACGGAGAAAACAAGGAATTCTTGGGAAGCCTCCTTCTATCTTCCCTGCCCTCCCTGGCCTCTGGCTTTATTAATTTTTATTTTATTTTATTATTATTTTTGGCAGGGGGTGGCTACCAGGGATCGAACTTGGGTCCTTGTGCTTGCAGGGCAGGTGGTGGAACCACTGAGCTAAATCCCCAGGCCAGCTTTTATTTTATATATGTAATTAGTTTTGTTTTGTTTTGTTTTTTTGGTACCAGGGATCGAACTCGGGTCCTTGCGCTTGCGCAGCAGGTGGCGAAACCACAGAGCTAAATCCCCGGCCCTAGTTTTGGTTTTTTGAGATGGGGCATCACTAGGTAGTTCAGGCTGGCCTTGAACTCACTGTGTAATCCATGCTGGCCTTGAACTCGCAGCAATCGTCCTGCCTCAGCCTCCCAAGTGCTGGGGCACCACACCTAGCTCACTCTAGCAGAGCACTTAGAATCATCTCTCCTTTTCCCTTTAGAAAGGCCCCAAGGTGTGGGCCCCAGGTTTGGGTGTCAGAGTCTTTCTCTCTTTCCCCTCCATATAAACTGATCATAGTTATTACTGGGGACTCAGTTATTACTTGGGACTTTTGAGGCTGTCATGACTTTCCTGCCCAACTTGAGGCTTCTGGGTCCCATGCAACAGGATCACCGTCTCCTTCTCTCTGTTGACTGGGGAGACCCCAGCTCCTTGTGCCACAATGAGAAACTTCTTGGACATGTGGCCACTCGGCCCCTGGGCTCACTGCTTGCAAGGCCCAGTGACACCTGTGCTGCTGGGGAGCAGGGAGCCCTCACCCCTTGGCCCTGGTTGCTTGTGCAGGAGCAAGGTCCAAGAATTCCCCCAGCTCTCTGCCATTGTTGCTCTGGGACCTCTTGGGACAGGTTCGGCCTGACACGATCGTACAGGTGTGGCGGGAAGAGAAGCCTGTCACCTACATGCAGGAGGTGGAATTGGTCACCAAGGCCGGCTTCCGGGCCCTGCTGTCAGCACCCTGGTACCTGAACCGCATCACATACGGCCCCGACTGGAAGGCCATGTACAACGTAGAGCCCCTAGACTTCGAAGGTGACACGGGCGCTGTCCTTGCTGATCAGAGAGCCCGTCCAGGACCCAGAGTGGGAGGCAGGGGTCTGGGGCAGACACAGCAGGTTAGAAAGTAGGGTGGGTGACTCAGCTGGTAAGGAGGCCTCAGAGGGGCAGTGGTTGAAGGGGATTCTGGGCCCCATGCCCCCCACCAACTTGTCATTTTCCCTAGGATCTCCTGAGCAGAAGGCGCTGGTTATTGGGGGAGAGGCCTGCATGTGGGGCGAGTGGGTGGACAGCACAAACCTGGTGCCCAGGCTCTGGTAAGGGGCTTCAGGGGGCGCTGGAGGGTTGGGATTGAGGGTTCCAGTTTCCCATACAGACCCAATTCCACCCACCACCTTCAGACCAGTGCCCTCCTTTGGGCCTGAGAGAGAAGGGACAGTGCCACGTCCTTCATGGGACACTCAGGTCCCGCATGGTTCGCATCGCTATCCAGCAGCCCAGTGAGTGTGTAGAGTGGCACTTGTCACTCCATGTCACGGACAGAGGGTGGCCTGGGCCACACCAGCGCCTTGGTCAGGATCCACGACAGAGCCTGGAGTTTCTGCAAGACTCCTTTGTCCCTTGGCAGCCTCCCTGACCATGGTCAGGGTCCTGAGTTTACATAAAACCATCTGGGAGCTCAGTGTGGTGGCGCACACCTGTTATCCCAGCACTCAGTAGGAGGAGGCTGAGGCAGGTTGACTGCTGACAGTTTGAGGCCAACCTGGGTTACTGGTACTTTCAAAGCTTACTCTTGTGCCATGTCTTTGGGAGAGGACAAAGGTAGAGCTCCATACCTCCATATTTAAACAGAAGGGAGCAGAGCCCTAGAACTGCCTGCAGTTGGGCTTCACTCAGAGCAAAGTGCAGAGCACAGCCCTGGCCCTGAACTGGCTCAGGACCTATGCTAAGGACTGTGGGTGTCCAGCGCCCTCTTGGGGAGGCGCATACCCGCCACGTTCCTTGTTTCCTCCAGGCCCAGGGGAGGTGCGGTTGCTGAGAGGCTGTGGAGCAGCAACTTGACCACAGACCTGGACTTCGCCTATAAACGCCTATCACACTTCCGCTGTGAGTTGCTGAGGTGAGCAGGCCAAGGGCTTCCCCAAGGGAGTGGGGCAGGGCCTGGCTGGGACCCCCTTGCTGAGACAGAAGAATGACAAGGGCTCAGCCTGTCACAGGCTCTATCTCATTGGCTCACACCATAGCCTGTTTGGTAGGCCATCTTTACCCCCATTTTATTTTATTTATGTATGTATTTATTTATTTATTTTGGTACTAGGGATTGAACTCGGGTCCTTGTGCTTGCAAGGCCTTTTTGCGGGGGGGGGGTGCTGGGGATTTAACCCAGGCCTTCCTATATCCCAAGCAAGTGTTCTACCACTGAGCTATAGCCCCAGCCCATTCCCATTTTATTTAATTTTAATTTTATTTATTTATTTATTTATTTATTTATTTATTTATTTATTTATTTCTACCAGGGATTGAACTCTGGTCCTTGCGCTTGTGCAGCAGGCGGCAAAACCACTGAGCTAAATCCCTGGCCCCATTCCCATTTTAAAAATAAATGGCTGTACCCCACCATGGTGGTGCAGGTCTGTAAACCCAGCACCTCAGGTGGCTGAGGCAGGAGGATTGCCATGAGTTCAAGGCCCAGCCTGGACAATATAGTGAGGCTCTGTCTCAAAAAAACCAAAAATGGAGAACCCAGAACTGATAGCTGTGTAGATCTGGAGCTCTGGACACCTGTCAAGCTTCTGCCTCTTTCTTAAGGGATTGCATTATTTGGGGCTCGTCTGTAGGGACAGGAGGACAGAAGTAGGTAGGGTTCCCCAGTGCGTCTCTGCAGGTGACTCTCAAGTCCTTATCACATCCAGGAACAGTTTGAGGTTCTGGAAGTGGAGGAGGGACCGTGAGTGCGGGAGAGGTGGTGTCGCAGGGTCTGAGGCGGCGTTCAACCTGCCCCTGTGTCCTCTGCAGGCGAGGAGTCCAAGCTGAGCCCATTGGTGTTGGCTACTGTGAGCAGGAGTTTGAGGAAACCTGAGCCCATAACCCTGGCACTGAGGTGGGTGCTGGCTTCCACTGCGTCCCAGCTGGGTGACAAGAGCCCCTCGCCTTCGAACCCTGTGGCTGGAGAGAAGGGGCTGGCGCTGGCGCCAGCAGTCAATAAAGACCAATGTGGCACTTTTCCCTAGTGAATGAGGATTACCTGTGTTAAAGAAAGAAGCGAATGGCCGAAGGCTATGGGAGCTGCCTTGTCTGGCAGGGAGGCTTGGGGCCAGTTGCTGGAGGGTTTTAAAGCTGAGGTCTAGGGATGAAACCTGAGCTTCTATGCTCCTCTCTTTTTGGTTGAGACAAGGTGTCTCGGTGTGATTCAGGTTGGCCACTCACTGAACTTACTGTGTAGCCCAGGCTGGCCTTGAACTCACGGTGATCTTCCTACTTCAGCCTCAAAAGTGCTGGGGTTACAGCACCTTACCTGGTCTCTGTGCTGCTTCTTTTTTTTTTTTTTTGGTGCTGGGGATCGAACTCAGGATCTCTCACTTGCCAGGCAGGTACTGTGCTCTTGTCCTTAGCCTGTGCTTTGCTAGGTCTCTCCTCACCCGCTCATCCTCAGCCTGGTCGCTGTACTGTTGAATCCTACCTGCAAGGCTGCTGTATATGGAAGGGGCATCGCAGGGGTCTGAAGGAATTCTGAGCAATGGCCGAGGCTCCAGCCCCTCTATGGGTACTCACACCCTTCCCCTAGAACTGTATTCTTTTTCCTTTTTGCTACTGTTTCTTTCACTCAGCCACTATTTAAAAAATTCTCCTCAGCACATGTTTGCAGTACACACTGATCACATTCATCATGGGGAGGCAGACCGTGCACATGACACACTTTATTTCAGTTTACATCCCTTTCCCTCCTTCCCTCCATTTCATATCCCCTTCTCATTTGCAAAGGTTCATCTCCCTGCTTCCGGTTGTCATATCAACCACTCTTTAAATGTTCCTGAGCACTTCCCAAGGTCCGAGCACCTGAAATAATACAGCCAGCTTCTGCCGCCTCCTACCCCGTTGTCAGCCTCACGTGTCCCAGTCTGGGTGGCACAGCTGACGCCATGACAGCAGAGGCCCTGGGAGCAGGGCAATGACGACCAGCTTTCTCCAGGGAGAAATGACTCACTGTGGTCCCAGACTACCCCTGCTGCTCTTCTGTTCAGAAGCAATAATGTAACCCGGCGATTGAGACGGTGGTATACAGCATCAGTCTGGAATGAATATTTCATTGGCCATTATTACATTCTTTTTCCTGGTCTGGGGCTGTGACGGTGGAGAAGTCCTCGGCCTTTGTCTCAGAAGCTTAGAGAAGGCATATGAGGAAAACCTGGTCCTTCAGCAGCATCCTGTCTCCCTCAGTCATGCTCTCTGGAGACCTGGTTAGTGACAAACCAGGCCTGTCTCTTGGGCAGTGTCTGGAGGGACCGGGTTAGCAAAAGTTATGCTTGGCCATGCCCAGGACTCCACACCTGTATCCTCAAGTAGGCCCCCTTACCTCTGCCCCCGTACCTAGAAGCCTGTGGGGTGGTTCCAGCAAGGACCCCACAGAAATGCTGCTACCCTTGCACCCCTGCTTTCCTATGGTCATAACTATTGTTCCTGTTGTTTGGAGTGATGTTAAATAGCGAAGACACGAAGTTGTAGGGCAACCAAGGAATAAACATGAAAACACTTGCTTTATAGCACATAGGCTCTGTGATTTCTTCCTCTTATCGTAAACGTTTTTTCCCAGTGTTATTTTTACCATTAAATAACTAGGCACGGTGTTGCACACCTGTGATCCTAGCTATTCAGAACGCTGAGGCAGGAGGATCATGACTTGGGCAGTTTAGCCAGACCCTGTCTTAAAGAATCAAAAGGGGGATGCCCCAGGGATTTAGCTCAGTGGCACCTCACCTGCCTCACAAGTCCAAGGTCCTGAGTTTGAACCCTGGTAAAAAAAAAAATCAGAAGGGGCCACCTCGTGTGGTGTCACAAGCCTGTAATCCCAGGACTCAGGAGCCTGAGGCAGGAGGATTGCCATGAGTTTGAGGCCAGCCTGGGGGTACACAGTGACTTCAGGGCCACCCTGAACTACAAAGTGAGATCCTGTCTCAAAAAACAAAAAAAGTCAAAAGGGCTGGGGGTACAGAGCCCTTTTTTTTTGGTACAGGGGATCAAACTCAGGACCTTGTGCTTGTGAGGCAGGTGGTGGCACCACTGAGCTAAATCCCCGGCCCTAGCGCTTATGTAATAGGCCAAAGCCCTAGGTTTAATCCCAAGGAGTTAATGTGGCCTGGTCAGGACTGTTAGAGGAAAGGCCTGATGTTCCCAGCCTCCAGCATTGCGTCTCTGGGGTGTGTCCCCCCACCCCCCCTTCACCGGGGAGGGCCCTTCATTTGCAGCCCCACCCTGTGGGGCCCAGAACTTCCCAGGTTGGCGTCATGCCCTTCGTGCACCACCAGGGGGCGGGAAGCACCCAGACTGGTTGCCTGGCTCCAGCCAGCCTAGAAACACCTCTCCCAGCCCTGCTGTCCTGACTCCATTAAGGGGGTAGCACAACTGATAATAGTTAAATTTGGGAGATGGCCTCTGTGTCCCTCAACAGGTGAATGGATAAAGAAAATGTGGGAATATCCAGTGTGGTGGCACACACTTGTAATCATCTCTTTCTTCATAGTTCCCCACTCTGCTTCTGTGCCACAATTCCACGAGCCATTGCAGCTGAAATCCAGGAATGATCTTTAATTTCTTCCTGTCACAGCCGGCACCAACGTGTGCCCACTCTATCGGTAACTCAAATCCATTTACAATTTACCCTGAATTTAGGAGATGATCCTAACAAATACACCTGCTTCAAGTTTTCCAGTCATCTTAAAATTTTAATTTTCTTTTGAAACAGGATCTCATTATAGTTCAGACTGATCTTGAACTCACTGTGTAGCCCAGGCTGGCCTCGAACTCCCAGCGATCCTCCTGCCTCAGCTTCCCCAGTGCTGAGATTATAGGTGTATGCCACTATGGCTGGCTTTATTTTAATTTTTCAAAACTATCCCATTGCTGAGTGTGTGGAGTATACCTACAATCTCAGCATGGAGGAGGCTGAGGTAACAGGATTGCTGTGAGTTGGAGGCTGGCCTGGGATACATAGTGAGACCCTATCAAAAAAAGAAAAGAAAAAAAAAATCTATTGTCCAAATCACTCAGCAGAGTATGCTAGTTTTCCTCTTTAAGATGATTTGTATTCCAAACTCTATAATCATTCCCTAACACTACCTGTACATATTCCCTGTAAAGAAATAAAATAGCTTGAGCAGAAGTAACATTGTCTCATTTCTATGTCTCCATATACCCAGATTTCTGAGTTATGTGAGTCTAGACAGGCCTCAGGATGCTTCATGGAAGAGGATTAGACAATTACATGACCCTAGGATTAAACCTCAGAAAAGATGTTTAAGAATTTTATGGAGAAAGTTATTAAACTTCTGTGAAGACATAAGAAGCCCCATATATATACTTAGAACATGTTCAAGAATGTAAAGACTGATTATCAAAAATGTTTAGGGCTGGGGATGTGGCTCGGTGGCACAGCACCTGTTTGGCAGGTGCAAGGTCCTGAGTTTAATCCCTGGTACCAAAAAAACAAAAATGTGAAAAAAAATTTTTTTTCAAGACAAGGTCTCACTGTAATTCAAGCTGGCTTCGAACTTGCAGTGATCCTCCTGCCACGGCCTCCCCAGTGCTGACATTACAGGCATGTGCCACCATGCCTGGCGCAAAAATTTATTTATTTATTTATTTTTGGTGCTGGGATCGAACTCGGGTCCTTGCGCTTGCGAGGCAGGCGGCGGAACCACTGAGCTAAATCCCCAGCTCCGCAAAAATGTTTTATCTGTAGATTCAATATGATTCTAATGAAAATTCAATTTTACTTTTTAAATTTTGGAACTTGAAGCTGATCTTAAAATAAGTGGAAGAATAAATGAACAAAAGTAACTGTCAAGGGCTGGGGATTTAGCTCAGTGGTTCCGCTGCCTGCTTTGCAAGCCCAAGATCCCGAGTTCGATCCCCGGTACCAAAAAAAAAAAAA